ACCCGCTGCGCTAATCGGTGGAGCATTCGAGTCTTCAAATGATGAGTTCTCCTTATCCTTTCTTAGTTTAACATTCTATTAAAAATGTATTAAATTTTTTTCAGAAAAGTTCATCAATGAGAATGGCAGCGATGAAGCGGAATATATAGCTGCATCGTTTTTCCAATTTGCCAATAACCGCATGTAATTGCAAGCACGCAACAAGATGTAATAATTAACTTTTTTATGCTTAATTTTTGTGTGTTATCGTGAATTTGTATGCTAAAATGTCTATTCCCTATTTATATTTTCGCGACTGTAGATGAGTCCGCCGAAAATTCGCATTTCTTTTAGTTTCTAGATGTTAAGCAATCTATGTGTTGGCGACTTCCGTATCTCGTAACTCTTAAGAAAATTTAATTGTTAGTCAACCCTGAAAATTTGTTAAACTTTGGCCCTTCTGGCAACACTGCTTCCGCTGGAAAAGTCGAAAACTTGTATTGTCTCTAATACTTTGTCATCCCTAGTTTTATGTCGTATCTTCGTCATTTTAAAACTTTACCAGCAATTGAGAGGGAGCGAAAACTAATGTAGGTATAAATGTCTTATATTTTATAATCGAATTAACCCTAATTAAACACATTATAGGAAATAAAAACAGCGTAAAGTGTGGAGTACGGTTTTGTGCCCGTCCCAGTATTGTACGCGTGTAACCTAAGAAAAAAACGCTAGTTTTTTTATTTCTCGCGCCCCTCGGAGCTGGAACAGCTTTTTATTTCATTAACATTAAGCGCTTTTTATTTCATTAACATTAAGCGCTGAAGGAGCGCCAACGAAAGCCGGCTAACAGAGGTCCAGTTGACGAGAACAATAAGAAAACTGGTTAACAGGGGCCCGGTCAACGAGTCATCCAATTAAAGCGGTGAGAAAGAACAAACGATTTAGACGTGTTGCTAGATCGCGAAGGTTGGTGCCAGGAAGTGATTGGGGTAAGTTCGGTTGGGTGTATAACGTATGTATATTAGTGAGTTAGATTCGAAATTTTGCTCGAACCGTAAAAATTCTATTTCACATATTGCCACAAACACGTGCCAAAATTTTATTTTACATAACGGCATAATCGCATGCCAGAAAGCCTTGTTGTCTACATAACGGCATAATCGCGTGAAAATTCTGGTTCGCATAACGGCTTAATAGCGTATTAAAAATTAAGTAGACGGCCATCTTAAACGATGGTATTAACACGTTCAACATCCAATATGCACGACGAAGATGGCAACAGCAACGACGAGTTCGATACTACCGTTCGCGAACAGGGTGCAACTATGCTCCAACAACAACCACTGGCGCTTGAAATGCAAGTGAACGAAATGGCGAAACAGTTGCAAGAACTGCGAAACGCGATAGCGAATCTTTGTGCTTTAAATAACACGACTGCGACAGCACCCAATATACAGGCAACTGCCAGCAGCACCGCGCCATCGTTGGTAAGCGGCGCCGAAGCTAGTGGCGTTTCGATTGCCGAAACTTTAGCGGACTTGAACCGAACATTGGCCATCACCAGGTCAAATGCCAGCAAAAAACTGTACGATCTTCCTGAATTCGATGGGAGACCTGAAGATTGGCCAATGTTCCGCGAATCCTTCTATATGACTACAGAAGAATGCGGCTACAATGAACGGCAAAACATGTTACGACTTCAAAAGGCAATTAAAGGAAAAGCACGCGAGGTGGTTGAGTGTCTACTCATCCATAGCAGCAATGCGCCGCGGGTCATTGAAGCACTGCAAGAGCGTTTTGGAAGGCCAGAACTATTAGTTAAGAGCCAAATCGCTAGAATCCGAAATTTTTCACCCATTTCAGAAAATCGTCTGGAGTTGCTTGTACCTTTTGCTACGAAAGTTCAGAACTTGGCAATGTTTTTAGAGTCGGCGGGGTGTGAGTACCACTTGAGCAACCCGACTCTTATGGAGGAGCTGCTTCTTAAGCTCCCAATACAACGGCGTCTAGAATGGGCGCGCTACGCAGTAAGCGTGATACCAAGGGCCACTATAAGCCACTTCAGCAACTGGCTGAAAGAGCTAGCGCGCGTAGTAAACGCGGCCGGCATTGTTACTAATACACAATCGCGATTGACAGAAGTAAGGACCGAAGGCCGAGGAAGATTTTTCCATACGGACGAAGTTGTGAACGGTAATCACACTTCATGCAAGCTATGTATGGAGGCACACCATATATCGAGATGTAAGCGTTTTCTCGATATGAACAATACGTCAAGATGGAAAGTTGTGCTTCAACTGTATGAACAGTGGCCACAGAAGCAACCGATGTACATATAAACACAAATTCTCTGTGCGGAACTGCGCAAGAAAGGTACACGGACTCCTGCATGCCGACGGAACAACGCGACTCAACAGAGTGAGGCTCAATGCTCGCAACAGCCGATCTTTACTAGCACCTTGAGGCAATCAGGAAAATCGAAGGTACTTTTCAAGATTTTGCCAGTGATACTGTACGCTAACGGAAAGGAAATAGCATGCTACGCGTTCCTGGATGAGGGATCATCAATATCACTGATGAACAAGAGCTTAGCCGACCGCCTGGGACTGAAGGATTACAGTTCGGCGATTCCTCAACTACTTATTGGACTCGATAATGCACACCTGGGCGTAGCTAAGAGAACTGCAGCGGACGGCCGGTGTGGACCCGCGGTTGTATTGACTAAGCTCGGTTGGCTCGTGTATTGCTCAGGAAGTGCACGTAAAAAATCCGGGTTTGAATGTCACCACACCTTTTACACGCAATTAGAAACCGAAGAGAGCCTTGAAAATTTAGTAAAGAAGCATATCGTTGATGAAGCATTAGGTGTAAATCTTACAGGCAGACACGTGGATAGCGTTGATGTAGCAAGGGCAAAAGATTTGCTGGAACAGACTACAGTGCGCATGGGGAACCGTTTTGTAACAGGTCTATTGTGGCGAAACGATCATATGCTCCTACCAGACAGTAGAAAGATGGCAGAGAAAAGATTACTCACCTTAGAGAAGAAGTTTGACCGAGACGCAGACTTCCGAAAACAATACACGTACCTCATGGCCGAGTACGAGAGCAAAGCCTATGCGAGGCGCTTGAGTGATGAAGAGGTGCTACAAAGAGGAAACCGAACATGGTACCTACCGCGTTTCGGAGTCTGCAACGCGAATAAGCCAGAAAAGCTTCGTTTGGTGTTTGATGCTGCCGCTCAAGTAGAAGGCGTGTCTTTGAATTCCGCTCTGCTCAACGGGCCAGACTTGTGTCAGCCGCTAAACACGATTCTGATGAAGTTTCGACAAAAGCCCATAGGGGTGTGTGGGGACATAGTGGAAATGTTCCACCAAGTGCAAGTACGGCGTGAAGATCAAAACGCTCAACGGTTCTTGTGGAGAAGCAACACGAATGAAGACATTCGTGAATACATGATGTCAGTCATGACGTTCGGGGCGACATGCTCCCCATGCTCGGCACAATTTGTCAAAAACAGGAACGCAGAGGACTTTCGAGATGTTTTTCCTAATGCAGCAAACGCTATACTCAACAACCATTACGTTGACGACTTCGTGCACTGTTCCAACTCCCCGGAGGAGGCCATGCAAACTACAAACGAAGTACGTTCGATCCACCAGCAAGGTGGGTTCGAACTAAAGCTGTTCGTCTCGAATGTTAAGGAGGTCAGTGAGCGGCTCAACGGCGACAAAATTACGACTAACGATTTTAGCCTAGACAAAGATAGTTTTCAGAAGGTCTTAGGCATGTATTGGGACACCGCGAAGGATAACCTGAGGTTTGCGCTCTTGCGTGGTAAAGTTGATAAGGCCATAGTAAGAGGGGAAAGAAGACCTACCAAACGTGAAGCGCTGAGTATAGCGATGTCGGTGTTCGACCCCTTCGGGCTAGCATCGGAATTTACAATAGCGGCTAAACTAGTATTGCAAGCAGTGTGGAGAAAAGGTGTGCGATGGGACGAAAAAATTCCAGATGACGCCTACCAAATGTGGCTTAAGTGGCTAAATATGTTGAAGCAGACCTAACTATGCCAAGATGTTACGACAAACGCTTTCTACAAAGCCCGGTTGAACTACATATCTTTGCAGATGCTAGCGAAACGGCGTATGCAGCAGTAGGTTATTGGAGGGTCAATGGAGAGGAGGGATCAATACGCTTGGCGTTTGTAATGGGGAAAGCAAAGTGTGCCCCTCTAAAACTCTCAACGGTTCCACGCCTGGAGCTGCAGTCAGCGGTTCTTGCAGTCCGTCTTCGCGTTATGATCCTGCAAAATCACGATATGGTACCGACTAGAGTTGTTATGTGGAGTGACTCGAAAACGACCTTGGCGTGGATAAAATCCGATCATCGTCGCTACAAGCCGTATGTGGCACACCGCGTAAACGAAATCCTGGAAAACAGCGAGGTCTCTGAGTGGAGATGGCTTCCAAGCGCGCATAATCCAGCCGACTTTGGCACGCGTCCTCGAGACAAAAAACGCACGTCCTTCTGGGCAAGCGGACCTGACTTCCTGTTAGAGGACGAAAATCATTGGCCGACAACTGAGTCGCGTATACACACCCAAGAGGAGCATAGGGCCAAATTTGTTCTGCATATTCAAACTGATTATAACTTTTTACAGAAGTTCTCATGTTTCATCCGCCTTTCCAGAGTGGTTGCGTGGATGCTTCGTTTCCGCGATAATTGCCAACGGGATCAGCAGCGCAGAAGAGGTGGTCAACTCACCGTCATCGAGCTGGAAAGGGCGGAACTCGCAATTTGTCGAGCTACGCAGAAGGAAGCCTACGCTGAGGAGTATGAAGATCTAAGATTGAAAAGACAAGTAAAACGCAACAGCACGATTTCAACGCTTTCACCATATATGGACGACTCAGGTGTTATTCGAGTAAGAGGACGAATTGACAATGCAGACGCAGTCCCATTCAGTACTCGCAGACCCATTATATTGCCCAAAGCACGCCATGTGACAGACCTGATCGTTGGGTATCATCATCAAAAGTGGAAACACCAAAATGAAGGAACGCCGTAAATTCTGGGTACCTCACGCCAAACGTGCAAAATTAATAGAGCCCAACCTGAGACTCCGCTAATGGGTCCGCTACCACAAGAGAGGTTGACACCATTTGTGAGGCCATTTTCCTACGTGGATCTCGACTACATGGGTCCTTTCCTCGTTACTATCGGACGCCGCAAAGAAAAACGTTGGATTGCACTTTTTACCTGCTTGACGACGCGCGCGGTCCATATGGAAATAGCAAGAGATCTCAGCACGGATTCGTGTTTACTGTGCATACGGAATTTTATGAGCAGACGAGGCACGCCGGTACGCATACGTTCCGATAACGGTACGAACTTCATCGGTGCAGACAGGGAACTACAAAAACAAGTCGTCGAATTTGATTCTGGAAAGATTGCTGACTCGCTCGCGAATGAGCGTATAGAATGGGTGTTCAATTGCCCGTTAAACCCTCATGCTGGAGGGTGCTGGGAACGGTTAGTGCGCAGTGTCAAGCGAGCTATGGGACATGCGCTCCATGACGAGAACCTACAAGAGCACTGCCTTTACAGCTTAATGTGCGAAGCGGAGAACATGGTGAACTCTCGCCCGCTAACTCATATACCACTAGATACACCCACCGACGAACCCATAACCCCTAATCATTTTCTTTTAGGTACCGCCAACTCGGATCAAACGCCCCACCCGCGTGAGGAGGAGCACTGCGCCTCTAGAAAGCAATGGAGAAAGGTGCAACAAGCACAGCATCGTTTCTGGAAGAAATGGCTATCCGAATACCTTCCAGATTTGTGTCGCAGGACCAAATGGTACCAGCCTGTGCAGCCGCTGCGCGTTGGAGACGTGGTATTAATTGTGGACAGCAATATACATCGTTCTCGTTGGCCGATGGGCAGAATAACCCAAGTGTTTCCTGGCAAGGACTTACAGGTTCGCAGCGCTGAAGTGCAAACACCAAAGGGAGTATTCCGGCGGCCTGCTTGCTTATTGGCGAAATTGGATGTGGATGAATCCACATAGATTCACGGTGGCCGGGATGTTGGCGACTTCTCGTAACTCTTAAGAAAATTTAATTGTTAGTCATGTTTTTTACAACCCTGAAAATTTGTTAAACTTTGGCCCTTCTGGCAACACTGCTCCCGCTGGAAAAGTCGAAAACTTGTATTGTCTCTAATACTTTGTCATCCCTAGTTTTATGTCGTATCTTTGTCATTTTAAAACTTTACCAGCAATTGAGAGCACAGTATAGACAGTAACCAACCTTTTTGGGTTGTTGTTGTAGTAATCGTTGTTGTTGTAGTTATATTCACTCCTGAAGAAGGCACGGGGTTGTGTGCTGCTATTTAATGGCCTTCCTCAGACTTTTTCTTAGATTTTAGGGTTGTGTGCTGCATTATTATTAGATAAATAAATTTAAACATTTGACAAATCGTGATTTTATTAAAAGAAAATTATAAATGGTAATTAAACAAATGCATAAGATTAATCCAAAATATGAATGCTAAAATCTAAAAAAAATATGTACAGCAATATAAAATAAACATAATTTGCCTTATCCTGAGTTTCGCCTGACCAAAAATTCACCAGAAAATTTGTTCGGGGAAAATGAAACTCATGACAAGGCTGAATAAATATATAAATACTTCAGTATCTTTCGGCCTAATTTCTACCCCCGAAGCAAATAAAGGTTTGGTAAATAGAAAAATTTGTTATGGTTCACAAATAAATTAAATTTTGCTGAGCCAAATGCAAAGTAAAATTTTAACAGTTCAAAAACCAAACAAACGATCGTGGGAAAGCTCTATTTTTGTGTTTTGCTGAAATTGTTAAAATTTATATTTATTTTATATCTTGCAAGTAACGTACGCTTTGTTTGTGCTTTTTCAGCTTTTATTTTCTTTTTCACTCTATTACCGCCAAAACATATTATGTGTATACATGTTTGTAAGCTGTCAAAATTTTACCTAGACCTATGAGCAAGGCGAATCTATACAAGGTGGTGTTATTGGCGAATTTAGATTTTAGCCGCGGTCCTTCTGAATGTCAAAATGATGTGTTTGTTGTAATATGAATTCGCCTTGTTTACAACAAACACATCATTTTGACCTTCAGAAGGACCGCGGCGAGAATTGAAATGCACTATGCTCGCCTATGAGCAAGGTAAAATTCTGACGTTCGTATTCACCGCGAGAAATGTCAAATTTTTACTTTAATCCTTGACGGATCAATTTCCTCTTTTCTATCAATTGGCACAGGCCCATAGCTGTCAAAAATTACCATCCCGAGTTCTTTTCTATCAATTGGTATCGGCCCTCAATAAGAATTTAAACCTGCTATTTAACAAGAATCCAGTGAGGTATAGAAAAACAACAATTTTAGAAATTACCCGCATTTATATACATATATTTCTTTCTAAATCAGTATATTTTACATTCCTACATGTGGTTTTACATATAGAAGAAATTTTTGTTTGGCAAATCATGTTAAAAAAATTTAAATTGATGAGAGCGCTAAGTATTCTATAGTCTCAGCTAATGAAGTTACTCAGTGATCAGATTAAATTTCGAAACACGATCTTAAGTATTTGCGTAGGCACTAAATGCAACCGTGGGGTAGCTATGGTGAATTCAAAAGTGTAACAAAACCAAAACAAAAACTAAAAAGTGGAGCGTGTTTTATTTAAATTGAAGTGTTTAAACAATTTTAAAGGCAAGTACAACAAAAAAAAAGAAACTATATTTAACCATAACGTAATGTGCGTGAATATAAGATAATACTGTTTATTTACAATTGTAGCCAAGATGCCAAACAGATGCGTTCGTGGTTGCAGAGCTGGAGGAGCAGTTTACAAATTTCCATCGCAGCGAGAAATGCCAAGGTATGTATGATTTCCAATGATTTACAAATGTTAAACAGTCAAAACTGGGTAAGCGGGCAGATATGGGAAGTGATTTGTGCATTGAGGTTTTTATACCGAAGCCAGGTATTTGTGGCCAATTTACCAAACGCTGGAATCTTAAAGAGTTGAAGCGGTTTTGTGTATATATTTGTTGAATGGTGCTGGCATGAGGTTGACCGCTGAAGAAAGATCAAATATGCCCATATCTAAATTGCTTATGTAATTCTCTTGCTACCCATCGAAATTTGACTGTATTTTTGTCATATATATAAATGCCAAAAAAAATTGCGGAAGTGTATTTTTGTAAACATGAACAATATTTTATTCATCGACAGGCTTTACGGCGAAAATGGAAATTGTGAAATCAAACTAACACGGATATGACCAACGAAGGAAAAAGGCTATCACGGATCTCAGATGCAATTATTCACATACATTGCTTTGAATTCAAATTTCGTTTTTAGATGTAGATATCTCTACTTCTATGTATTAAGAAATAAGTTAAGATAGTGAAGGCTTTGTTCCTTGGAAGTTTGTTTTCAATCTCTGCAGTTTGCCTAAGTTCATGTTAAATTTGTAACCTACGTTGTTTGGGCTTTGTACTAAATTAGACCATATTTCGGTGGTCAGAAGTTTTTGTGAATATGTAAGTCATAAGGATCTAAGATCTTTAAATATAAAATTCATGGACTTTATGAAACGTACGTTTTTATAATGTCATGGCGTACGTGATAATTGATTAAAAGGTTAATTATTTACTAAAGATATGTTTTAAGATTAAACATTTTATTAATAATTTTGATTTTTATACTTTGCGAACGAAGAAAAAGGGAAGATGTTGGTTTTCTTTGTTGGGTTTGTTGTTTGTTTTTATTTCGTTAGGGTTTGTTGTTTTGTTTTTTGTTTTTTTTTTTTATTACATAACAATACTGAAACAGTATACTAACGTTTTTTATTTATTCTTAGGCGAGTGGAGTGGATGCGGCTTCTGGGAGTCCCAAGTGACACAGCAGTCAAATCACTCTACGCTTGTGGGAGGCACTTTTCTGCACGTTTTCGCAACAGTCTGCGATTATCAAAGGGTGCTGTTCCCGACTTAAATTTATGCGCACCTACAGAAGAGTTTTTTTCAGAAAATGATATAAGTACAGAAACGGTTAACTTAGTGACACAAACTGGCATGAGTAGACAAATAATCCAATTATCACCCGAAAACTTTAATCCCATACTTTCAAACGAAATAATTCAAGTATCACCCGAAGATGGTAATGGGGGGAATTGTATTTCACAAATCGAAGTAGAAAATTCCTTAGAGAATATTCACAATAATCCTTTGGAACAACCTTCTTGTTCTTTCAGTAATGAAAGGTTATTTATAGTTTGTGATCAGGGGACACAAACAGATGAGTATCTTAGTGAAAATTCTCCCAGAAAGATAAAATACCAAGAAGATTTAAACAAAGCCACAGGAGAGATAGAAGTACTAAAACAAAGTGTATTAGAAAAAGAGCAAAGGATTAGAATACTAATATCGCAAACACAAAATTTGCCTCAGCAGCAGAATAATAGAAATATTGAAGAGGTCTTCAGAAATTTGCCTGCACATCTTGCCATATGCGTGAGGAATTGTATTAAAAATTATAGTCGCGATCCTTGTGGTCGCCGTTTCGACAGGAGTTTAAAAACCGTGGCTTTAGGAGTTCAATTTACGTCGCCCTTAGCTTACAGATATTTGAGGCCTCTTTTCCATTGGCCTTCCACAAATACACTTTCGAAATTTATTAGAGGTTGGCCACGAAACCCAGGTTGCTCTTTTAGCAGTATTAAGTCTCTAGAGTTGCGAAGCAGAGGCTGCACTCGTGAGCAGAAGTTTATTTCCATATGTTGTGACGAAATGTCATTAAAGACTCATTTGAAATATGACAGGCATAGGGATTTTGTAATAGGACTGGAGGACTATGGCGACGAAAATCGCACCTCTAGAATAGCAAACAGTGTTCTTGCTATGATGGCCCAAGGGATCGGTGGTGAGTCTTGGTCTCAGCCAATTGCTTATTTTTTCGTGCACGGCTCGTGCAAAGGAGATATTTTAAAAAAGTACGTTTTTGAGGTAATAGCACATCTGCAGGGAATAGGTCTTCACACATGCCAATTTGTTTGTGACCAAGGTTCAAATTTCATTAAATTCGCGCGGGAAATTGGTGTAACTGAAGATACACCTTATTTTAATGTAAATGGTGAGGAAATTGCGTTTTTCTATGATTCTCCCCATTTGTTGAAGAGTTCGCGAAATTGTATTCAAAATAGTAAAAACAATGTACATTTCCGTGGACATCCTGTTAAATGGAGCGATATTGTCCATTTTCACGAACAGGATTCACATCGCGGTATACGATGTGCCCCTAAATTAACATCGTCGCATCTTAGGCCCACAAGCTTTGAAAAAATGAGTGTAAGACTAGCTGCTCAAATATTGAGTAACACAGTTGCTAGCGCAATGTTTTCATTGTACAGCACAGGCAACCTTAATTCTTCCCTCTCCCCTAGCTTTTTAAATACCGCTGAATTTGCTCTGTTTTTCGACCAACTTTTTAACATTTTTAATAGTAAAGGTCTTGGAACCTTACGAAAACACGGCCAACCATTTTCGGGCAGTATTGAACAAAACAATTTCTTGCAAGAAGCCGATCAAACGCTTCGTTCAATTACTGTACATGATTTATCCGGTCGAGATATCACCAACAACTTTTCTTTTATTAAAGGCTGGCTTCTAAATATTCAAAGTTTGCGACGATTGTGGCGTGTTTTGTCACATAAGGGGTTTGAATACATTCTAACTAGAAAACTTTGTCAAGATGAAATCGAACACTATTTCGGGCAGATAAGAAGAGGAGGAGGACTGAACCCAAGAACCACGCCATGCATGTTTGCAGACCTTTTCCGCCAATCATGGGGTCTCAGACATGTTAAATTTGTCACTAGAGGCAACTGCGAACCATTGGCTACTGCTGAATGGGAGCTTTTTTCATTTAGCACCCTAGAGAGAGTCTGCAATGATCCTCTGGTGCAGGATACTTCTTGGCAAACTTTTCAAAGTTTACCCAGGCCTCATATTGACGATATTAGAAATAATATTGAAATAGATATAGTTGAAAGTGACTTCCTTCAACGAAATTCGTTTGCCTATTTTTGCGGCTATATTTACTTCGAATACTATAAGCTGCATAATTGTTTGACACCTTTGCCACATTTTGAAGAAGGTGAAATTCCTGAAGATGCCTTCACATTTACAAAAGAGAAGGAATATGATAGGTCAAACTTAGTCAAACCCCCATCTGATTTTATCAATTATATCACAAAACTTGATGAAGTTTTAAATGAATATTTTGACTCTTGTTGTCATTTAATTGGATTTTCAAAAGCCTTGTTTGATAAAATGTGTCACATAGAGTCATTCCAATGTTGTCGAAATTCAAACCCCGATGATGTGAAACATCTTTTTATTAGAATACGAACATACTTTTCGTTAAAAATTTTTAACAAGGAGGCTTCCTCACCCAATTTCAATCATACAAAGTTTCTATGCATTTCACATAGATAGGTCTTTTCCATTTACAAATATACTCATAATGTTTAATACAATTTCGCAAACTCCAACGATTTTTGCAATGTGTTTAAAGATAACGCTTCCAAATACCCCTGTGGGTGCGTAGAAAATTTATTTTGTATATGTACATATGTAAATATAAAAGAAAATGTGATTTTTTTATTTTTTTAAGTACAAATTTTATTTAATTTTACTAGTTTTAATAAACTCTTACCACGTATATACATACAAACATATGAATTTTTGATTTTGCATGCCTTACTTTTTATTTATATATAACTTTAATTATGTATTTAGTTTAAAAGGTGATAATAGGCCTCATGGGGAACCGACCACCTTAAAAAATCGGTAACGCGCCTGATTGTATACCTCAGTGGTGGTGTGGAAAATACAAAAAAAATAAACTGCATTTCTTTAACCACAATATTTCTTTTTTATTGAGTAGGAAATTGTAACTTAAAGCTGATTTAAGAAAACGTTTGTTTTTCTCTCGATAGTATCATTATAAAATATTATTAAGCGCACATTCGTACATATGTCGCAATCAATGCTTAACCATATTTCCTGCAAGAGCACGGGCACCTGAACCACCGAATTTCGTTGATTCAAAGCAACGTGGATTGCCAACCAACAGAGTTATATCGTATTCGATGAGGGTGTTTTTCATCATTTCCTTGTTGGAATCCTAGCCAACCTAATTTCACATCATGGTCATCACCGTACACTAATAACATTGATTCATGTTAATTCATGTTGCAGAAATTTCGGTTTAATTTATCCAAAAGGCTGTCATTGACCCTCAGCGACCTTCGTACCCATAAAATTGCAAGAAACAGCTGCCCGAAATTTTGCACGGCTCCTCTTCGTTTTCCTACATGATTCCTCAGAAAAGAAATACCTTAAAGTGGCAGTGTGCGTGTCATATCTACAATAATTACATAAAAGTAGTTAATTCCTTTAGTTTAAAATTCACTCAACAAGAAATATTTCGTATACATACTTTTTGCAAATGAGATTGCAAGTATCCAGCAGGTAAACAGCCCATCGCCAAGATGTTTAAAAACCATTCCTCCGCCATATCCCTTGATCTTGCTAACACATAAAATTCGTGGAATTATAAAACAAAGGCATAAAATGTACAGATTCTTGAAGAAATTCAATGAAAATTACTACCTGCTTGTATTTCTCGTAAACAGAAGAAAATAAATAGAAATATATATTCACCACAGCACAAGTAGCACCAGAGCAGTATTTTTTCTGTAGTTTCTCATTTTAGTGGCAGTGCTCCGAGCATTCAGATAGTCATTATCATTTTGCATAAAAAACGTAATGAAATAAGTTGTATTCCAATAGTTTACATAGTGAGTCATTTACGTATATAATTTTATGTAGAATTATTCAATAAATTTCGTTTTACACTATACTTTTTGAAACTATTTTGAGCTAATTATTTTTTGTTTCTCAAAAGCAACCCTGCGTGCTTTGAAGGCGTGTGTACCAATAATTTCATCCCTAGCATATTCATCCCCGAGGAAGGCAGTCGCCGAATTCACCGAAGGTTGTTTACTGGTTATATTGTGATTGAGAGGGAGCGAAAACTAATGTAGGTATAAATGTCTTATATTTTATAATCGAATTAACCCTAATTAAACACATTATAGGAAATAAAAACAGCGTAAAGTGTGGAGTACGGTTTTGTGCCCGTCCCAGTATTGTACGCGTGTAACCTAAGCAAAAAACGCTAGTTTTTTTTATTTCTCGCGCCCCTCGGAGCTGCAACACTATGTATGGGTTTTTAATGAAATGCCTTTAAATAAAGGGTTGTAAAAATGTTTATAAAAAGATTTCTTTTGAAAATTTTTAGTAAGTTTATATTCATACGCTTATAAACAACTTTTTTTGAACCTTTATTATAAGTTTACACGTTTACGCTTATAAAATGCTTTCTTTTGAACATTTATTACAAGTTTATATTTCTACGCTTATAACCAATGTTCCTTTTCGATTATATTACGCTTACTTTCAAGCGTTTTATAAACAAAAAATCAACGTTTTGTAAGCTTAATGTTTATAATTGAAAACTAAAACAAACCTTTCTTTAAGTTTATTTTGCTTGTTGGGTTCTCTTTTTGCCGGACACTGATTTATATGGTATGAATCTGTTCATAAGCCGTATGAATATTCCTATAAAAGAAGCACCAACTCTATGAAAAAATGAATGAAAGCGATATATATTTAACAATTTTGACTTGTATACTAGACAATATTTTTTTTGTAAACAACAAATAAAAAAATTTTATTTTGTGCTAGCTTCGAAACTAGAAGCTTATTTTTTTGTTAAATGTGCTTTAAAAAGGACCTGCTGCCAATAAAGCCTTGTGGATTGCTATTTTTCCATATTTGTAATGCTTCCATTTAAACATCTTTGTGGAAAAACAGTTTTTTGTTCAGAATTGCTTGTTTACGAAACGTTTGGCTTAAGTTGAAATCATAGGGATGCCGTTTTCT